TTTCATTTGGGTATGAAATAAACTTACATTTGAGCATTTTAAGACAATTGTAAATATTACTTTAATCTGTTTTTAAAAAAATGACGAGATTCACTGTCAGCATGTTATTTCCTATAAAATAAAAAGAAAACAAACAATTTTATATACGTGTTTGTGTACGTGTACAAATTTAAATGTTTCCGGCATCTAAAAATTATTTTTTTCATGTTATTATAAGAGATTTAATTCCTGAAGTAACAATCACTTTCTTTCCAATTTTTAAATATATAGTTCAAGAAGAAAATCGAAAGTTAACCATAAAAATGTTTGATCCACGCGCAGCTTTAAATGTTTTCCCTATGACGGAACGTCACTCTATTTATAGATTTACTGAAACCCATACTTTCGTTTTCCACTGTTTGATTATTGTCAGCTGATAAAGGAAAGACCGCTCGTGTATTCTGTATGGAGGATTTCTACATTGAAGGTATTAATCATCGTGATTCACGGCGTTGTAAGTTTCTTTTTCCTAGTGTTCATGATTTTCTGAAATCAAGTCGTGTTATGTACTTTGTAAAAGTAGCATATTTTGTGTTAGTAACTCACCCACGCATTTAAAATAAGTATTTGTTTACATCCAACCAAGAGATTTGTGCGCTTACAGTGTTGATGTACTTGCGATTGTATGAATCTATATCATGATATACTGATTACTGTACGTGTAAATCCATGTTATCGAACATGAAAATGTTCGACAGTTTAAAAATCTCAATTAAATTTGAACAAGCAAGTACACAAACATGCTAAATACATGTAGCTGACATCTTGGACTCGTTTAATATTTATATTTAGTGCATTTCTTACGTAACAAAATTCCGAATCTCTGGATATATTCATAAGTGTACGCTATTTATACACCTATATTACCTGTGATGCACGTATATTTTATAGTGAAGAAACTATTTTAAGCAATTATAGGTGTGCGATATAAAAGTTGATAACATGCTCTTCAATATTTTTACAGATATATCGTAAAGTGAAAGTACATGTACAATATTCTGATGTTTGATTTAATGCATTGAAAATCTATTGCTTCCAATATCCTTACATGAGCTGTTAAATAATCCAACCTATTTCTTACATGAACCTAGATTAAAGTTTCTTTGATTTTATGTGTAATACTATACATGTACCTATTAGATGTTATATGTACTGTTGAAGCTGCAGAACTATGGCTCTTTGAGATAGAAAATTCAAAAATGAAACCAGATCTCTCACTGGTGTGTATGACCGAATTTAACGTCATTTAGAACTAGTTATGCAAATTAATATGAGGAGTAATGAAAATTGAAGGGTGACAAATAGAGAGAGGGTACTACAAAATTTAATTCTTGTTTTGTTCGTTCTCGATCGTCTGGTGGACGACTTTTGCAGTGCACAATAATAAAAGATGAAAGCGGCCCTACTGATATTCGATGTATACTTTGCAAGTTAGCTTTTTTGATCATCCGTTGTCCATTTGTAAACTTTTTACATTTTCAACTTCTCGAGAACCACTGAGTTAATTTTAACCGAACTTTGTACAAAGCATCCCTGGGTGAAGTAAAGTTTAAATTATTAAAATAAGGGACCAAACCCTCTTCCAACGGGAGATAATTAAAGAAAAATCCGAAAATAGAGTGGGGGCATTAAAAAAATCTTCTTTTCAAGAATCAGTGGGCCTGAAAAGCTGAAACTTATATGGAAGATCCTGGGTTAGTTAAGATTCTAAATTGTTCAAAACATGACCCCCAGACATATAGGATTTAGCCATAATAGGTATTACAACATGTACGTACAAGGGGGGAAACCTTGTGAAGAACAGCATCGCCAAAGTTTCTCAGATGAGCGTTGTGGCCCATGAGCCTCTTGTTTATAACATGCAGGGAAAGCAAAATATAAAAAAAAAACAACATAATGATGAACTACTTAATAATATGTAACTATAAAATATCTCTCGTGCTCTAGCTGTATGTGTGCGAATGTATCCCCAAATCAGTGTCCTAATTCACTATATAGATGCAGAACTGTAGCTTTCCGAAAAAATATATTGTCAGATATATTGGTTGTCCATCCCAATTTTTTCATACCAGCGAGCCACAGAACTGCAGCTACAAATTCACTTACTAAATGAAAATTTCTTAATGCTCAACAGGTCTACCTTGAATTGACAACCTACCTGTTTTGCCGTGTTGTACTCCTGCCTCTGTAGAAAAGACAGCATTCCAGACCATGTCCCTCCTGTCTATAGATGAATGCCGGACACGAATTATACGGGACAACCTTGTCAAGCTTATTCATTGCTTGTGTCCCAGAGAGCTACTTCCACACCTTACATGTCTTTCAACAACGACAAAGGTTAGAATGTCTTCTTCAAAACTAATTTAGTCTGAAATATGTTTCGTAATGTTTCACCTCATACATTCTGTTCAAAATAGCGTTAGAAAGGGTGGAAAGGGATAACTTTTGTCTTCAAAGCGGATTCATGGACCTGAAACCTGCTTTGATCACCAGAGTTACCCAGTTAAACTAGCTATTTGTTTTCGTCGTTTGATGGTCGTCATTTGTCGGTCGAGGAATTTTATACATGCATTTTAACTTTTCTTCATAAACCTCTGAACATCAGTGAGTGAAACAAAATTATAGTGAATTTCATGATTTCTGTCCTCTGGAGCTTGAGGGTTTGGGACAAAACCATCAAAATTATCAAATTCTTATACTTCTGGACATAACAGAGTCAAACTGTTGCCTTCTCAAACACTACTATCATTTCTTTGGTACATCATTTAGTTCAAACTTATACTAGTAAATATTTACAAAAGTTTAAAACAGAAATGAGTGAATTATCAAAGTATTAATTTTTTTTAGCAAAAGATAAGGTGCAGATTAGATAACGAGGGTCAAGTGTCAGCAAGCGATCTGTTACTGCAGGAGTTACAGAGGAAAGATAGATGGTGGGAACAGCTCATTGCAGCTTTACGACATTCTGAAGTCGACATGGATAATATCGCTGATTTGTTAGAGGCAGATCTCGAATCTCTCTCGGAACTGCACGGGAAGGAAAGAGGAAAACACGCTTATAAAACAGAGAAATCTAGTTAGTTATTTCAAAGTAACTTTCGTAGATTATTTCATAGTTTTTTTTAAGTTTGTTGAACTTTTGTTAAAGCACATTATTGAATGTTTAACAGAAAGGAAAGAAAGGATTGATTGGTCAACACCTCTCGATAAGCTACCTTACCCTGTTCTGAACGTTCTAAAGAGACTGGACGTGGGCTCCAAGTGGAAGGATTTGGCAGCTCATTTAGGTAAAGGATATTCGATTTTTCACATGCTTAATTATTTAATCCTTCGGTAGATAAACACTTTAACAAAAAATAACCCGTCGCAATTGTTTAATTTATATTTTTATTGTTTTGTTTCTCAGGCTACACCGTAGAACAAGTGGAACGGTTTGAGGTATATGCAGATAAGGACGGCAGTCATGCTACAAAATTTTACAGTGACCTCGCAAAAAATCGAGCTTTTGATCTCGGACGACTCGTCTGTGTTTTGAAAGAAATAGAGAGGAACGATATTTTGGAAGATTTACGTCACCTCAAGGAATTAAGCCATCTAGACTGGAATACCACGAAGTATCCTCATGACGTCACAACCATTGCTAGACAGGAGAGTTGTCAGCAGATTTATCTGGAAGAGTCAACACTTTGTTTTGCTTCATGGAATTCAAACAGTATACCTACTGACGTAAGTTCCGGTTCAAACGGAAGTCATGCAATGAAAGATGAGAGACATTATGACTCTGGCGTTATATTAGGAGGAACGCAGCTAATGTCCCTGGATCCTTCACCTGCGGTTGATGGACCTGCGCAATCTTATGGTGATAACGATCAATGTTGTGAAAGAATTGCTCTCAACCATGAGGCTGATGAGTTGTGCAGTGATGTTACTACACAGGACTGTCATATCAATGAATATTTTGAAAATAACAATGATCCCCCCAAGGGAAATACAGAGCCTTTCACAGAGGACTGTACAACAAATGAAGATTTACCAAAGACAGAGCCACGCAGACAACAGCAAGTGGGGAATACTGTCCTGTTCAGTGCTCCATCCTGCAATCTGAGCAAAACTGTTATTGGTTTCGCAGCAACAGCAATGGTTGCTTTCTTTCTTGTAAAGTCGACACGTTAATTGTATTTATATAAGTTTTTGTTGCTGTTTTTTGTGGTATGTGAATACTTGCACATGATAAGTCTGTGATATATGTATGAGATTTGATGATTGTTTTCAAATCTTTTTCAAGGATTTTTTGCCAATAAAGTTATGTAAACATGCATACTACTTTGACTTTGCTTCTGGGTTTTATTAAAATCACCCATTCATCATGCAAACGACATCATGACATCATGCACTGTGTTGACTTGCCGTGTACACATGTAGTAATAATTTATGACAGCATTTTTGTATGAAAAAGTAAATAAATGTAAAACATTCAGAAAAAAAGTTACCATAGAACCAAAACCTTACATATTATGTCTTAGTTTCCACTTAGACACTGCAGCGTACATGTAAATACATGTATAAAAGTTTTGAGTTGAAACTTTTCTTAATCCACCTTGTTGAAATTACGAGAAAAGTTAGGTTATCAAAAGGCCCACCTTGTTCAGGATTTCTTCCTTATATTATCTACTCACTGAGCTAATGATTATCTCCGATTACCATTTTCTTTTAGTCATCATTTCTCATATGAACCCAACATTTGCTTGTAATTCCAATTTTAGCTAAAGACATTGTTTCTCTTTTGTCCATTCATGAATTCCAAAAGAACCTGACGTATGATCAGGTAACGATACTATCGTTCCCGTACGATTCTACCATGATTGCAATCTCCGGATCGAATTCATGTTAAGGAGAAGCAAGATTCTGCGTTTTCTGTCAATCTACGCAATGTTCCAAAATTCATGAAAGTACCAATCGAATTTGAACTCCAGGCAAAAACTGTTTAATCAATAATAATACAAAGAACATCGGGACATATAAACACAAGTTTTCTTCTTAAAATTACATACGATTCGAGTACATTAATATAATTATTCCATCAACAAAAGTATCGTTTCATTTCTATAAGTTTTTATCCAAATAAGTTATGATTTCTTGCAAGGCTTTAAAAGAGTTCTTATAAAACTCGAGGAACAGAAATGAATGGTCCATTCCGGTCCAATGACGATGCGTGACGTCAACGTCCAGTTGACGTAATCTTTCAGCGAGGAAAAAGGCATCGTCCCGTAAGCAGTCTATCTCCGTAGACAAAATGTACGTTTTTGGAAAATTTCTGAGAATTTCGTCATCCGCAAAGAGCGGAGAAAACATAGGATCAAGAAACTTGTCGTTCAACTTTCTTGCCAATCCGGAATCCGTTTTCTTGGACATCGCCCTTTTAACCGTTGGTTTCTCTAAATTTTTAGGAAGGACATCGGGTCTTACATGTTTTGGAAAATACGATTTTCTGATTTCGTCCGTCCAGTGAGCATTTTCCAGTAACTTCCGTATTTCAGAGTTGTCCAGAGTCGCAAAACCAAGGGCATATGTGATCAAAGATTTTAACATAAATTCAGCATTGGGAAATGTTGGTGCTTTAATATTGTCATAACTTTGATAGGAGGGAGTTATAAAATTTAAGGCTTGAATGAATGGAACCAAAACTATATGGACTTTGAACTTTGGCAGGTCTAGTCCATCCTCCGAAATCATTCTTATTAACATATTCATGGTCAAATTTCCGCCTGCATCATCCCCTGCAAAATGTTTTAATATAAAATGTTTAATACTGGTATTTATAGTTTTATACCTCTTGTAAACATTATGTTATTATATTTTTCGCAGTCTTGTACTTTCTGCGATTTTCAGAGATTTACAAAAAATTGTCTTATAAATTACTTATCATGATCATTAATATGATTTATTTGAGAGAGTTGTCAAATAAATTGATATAAAGTTTGCATTAGTGTTTATACCCATCAGGATAAGTTTTTCAGAATCCATATTAAGTTGTTCTGTATTTCTCTGTATGTATCGTGTTACCGCAAAGCAATCGTCCACCGCAGCTGGAAATGGAAATTCCGGAGCCAGACGATATCTAAAAAAAATATATGAAAAAATAATGTAGCGGTATCGGACAGTTAAGGTATGTCACTCGTGAAATTTGTTATATCAAGTTTTGTTTTTTTTTAGTTTTGGCATGTTCAAAATCTTTTGTGCAATATGAAATTTTCTTTTGAACAGAGAGACTACGTATTTATTACAAGTGAGTAGCATAGCCTACATCGCGGAAACATATAAAAAAAAAATACAATTGCCGCTGTAACGTTGAATTTTGACCCGGGTTGAAAATTGACCCGGGGGTCATTTTTCAACGTTGAATAGTGAGACCAAAGGTGTTGAATTTAGACCCTAGTCCGTTGAAAACTGAGCCGGGTCGTGGAATTTTGATCATGAAACCGGTTCAAAATTCAACAGTATAAAAACACATATTTATAACTTGGTTTTCTCAACTGTGATTAAATTCATAGGCGTCGGGAGCGGGAGAGGGGGGTTAGGGATGCATACCCCTTTTTTTGCAAAGATAGACATAATATAGGCATTAACAATTTGTAATTGGGTTAGTTTCCCCCTGCTTTTAAATAACAGGCACGTTACAGTGTAGTAAAAAAAGAGTAAGTGGTAGTGTTAAAAAAATATATATATTGGATCCAACCCCCAATAGGATTTTCGGGTTTGGATTACTAGTTTGGACAATGAAATTTTTTTTCTTGTCAATTTTTTTCAGATTTGAATTTTTCTTTCTTTTTCAATTTTCAAAGTAACATGTAGCTTAATATTGCAATATTTCGTGTAATATTTATTTAAAAAGAAGTACATCTGTAGATCACTTAAAGACGTACAACACACTGGGGGAGATAACTCTTGCGATTTCAATTGAACGTTTGACGTAACGTCAAATTTAACGTCAGAAATAAAGCGTCAAAACGACGAGTAAAACGATCCCGATGTATATCAATCATGAAAGAAAATTGGGATATTGGGCTTGGCTGTGATTGTGCGTACCATACTCAATTAATTAGTATTTTTAGTATTTTTTTAATTAACCCGATTAAACTCCGTAAAAAGCAAGACTTAAAATACCATCCCTTAATGTTTATTTCATTTCATTTCATATACAAAAAATTGTATTTTTGATCAAAGCGCAGCATTTTTTTTTATTCTTAAAATTTTATTTTGCCGAAATTCTCATTATTACAATTGGCTATATAACATTCCGATTAATGGTCTTCATTACAATTTGTGCATACACGATATAAATATTGTTTTTCTTCTTTAATTAAATAAAACAACAATAAATAAACAAAAAACTTGTTACAATGTAAAATCGATGTTGTTCTCAGACTCTTACTGATCAAAGAGGAACAACTCTGAAAATGTAGGAGATGTTTATTTTCCTCCCTTTATTCACGGTTTTCCACAGAATCCAAAGACCTGATAAATCCGAGAATTGAATACTATAGACCTCATATACACAATGTAAGTATAGAATTGAAAAGAATTGTTTACTTGTTACTGAAATTATCTGCATTCATGAATATCCTATTGCAGCAAATCATAACTTTGACTTTCTGTCAACAATGTCGGTTCGCATTTCCTCGAATCAAAACAAAACGTAGCCTATAAGATTTTAGAAAATATCAATGTGCGATTTGATATAAATTGAAATAGATGAAGAGTTTAATTATTGATATTTTGATGTTCATGTGGACGAATACGGAATTTTCATTTTAACTTTAGAAGCGACGACATTGAAAGAAATGCGTACAATATCATGAGGGGTGTATGTACATCTAATGCAAATGTCGATGTATCCCCACGGCCACATACTGTCTCGTTTGAAAAGATGACATGAAAGAAACTACAATTATTCCATTTATATCACAGGACAGGAGAGTTGAACATACACCATTTTTTTAATGAATAAAATTAAAGAAATAAAATTAAAAATCAACATATTCAAGTTCAACAAAACTTGAATTCGTATCCAGGTTTCATGAGATACTAGGAATGCATAACGCATACGTATATGGACTAGACACTAAAATCTTTCAGTAATTTTTTCCTGATACATATAAAAAGAGTAGTCAATATTTATTCTGCATTCATGAATTTAAAAACTAATGCATACCTCCGGGATTCTTGACGAAATACCAGTATATTTGCACTGTAAACGACGTTTCGTCAAACGCTAAATGGTCTGCGACGCAAAAAAGGAAGGGGTGGGGGTGATAGGGGTATTCAAAAATTACCTAAAAATCTACATTTAAATACGCTTTACATATGAGAACTTTTAAATTTGTAAGTTAATATATTTTTGAAGCAAAAGCAATATTCCAATTTAATTTTTTAAATGTGTATTTGTAGATTGATATAACAAAGTGATCGACCCCCGTCTGAAAGACGCGCGGGAACGTGTTTTATTGAGAAAGGGGGAGGGGGTAATTTTCCGCTATTAAATCAAAACTGGTCGTAAATTATACAAAAAATTATTAAGATTATTTTTACTACCAGCTACCTAAAGAAAGTTTTTTACAAAAATTAAACGACAGGTTTTTTCACAAAAAAATTTTGAATTTGAAAAATACGCAATTTTCAAGGCTTAGAAAATTCATAGTTTATCAGTTTAAGGTCTTTAAAAATTGTTTTGATGATATGTATATCAAAAAGATGACTATGTTTTTGTGTTAAATGTTTAAAAGAATAAGCCAATAAAATTTGACATTTATATCTAACCTGGTTTTTTTGAAAATCAAGGTTTAAGTAGTTCATTGATTAAAAAATTTCTCTCCTTGTAAACAACTAAAGGGGGGTAACTTTCGGAAGTTCCTGTCCAAAAACCACTCGAACGATTTTGTCCAAAATATGCATACATGCAGTAGATATAGTCATGTACTAAATATACAAAAATAACGAAAATTAAACGACAGGAATTTTTTGGGGTAGTTGTGTTGTACATCCTTAAGTTTCGCGACACCTTATTTTCGTGAGGTAGTCATTGACTCTTGATTAGCGAGACAAAATTTTCACGAATTGTGGTTATTGCTCTTTAAAATCTTAAAGAATACTATTATACGCGAAAATTAATTTTTCGCGAGCACACTGTCTCGCGTAATTACGCGAAAATAAAGTTCTCGCGAATAAAGTGTGATTTACAGTATGAAAATCCTGAATATTAGTAAACATAGTTAAACAATATACAATTTAGTTCATAAATTTGTTTATTTATAATTTTTTGTTTGCTAACAACATTTCATTTATTTTAATTTTAAAATTCCTAATACCCTGGTATTAGTATTTGGAAAATGGTGAGAGTTTAACGCATGATGCACGTGCTTATTTAGTTATGCGCAACATTAATAACTTATAATGTCCAACTTGAAAAACGGATTTTTTTCAAAATAAAAGGTTTAGTGATCTTTTTCGCATAGTTATTCAAACAGTTCAAGAACGAACCTCAAAATTAATACATACATGTATATATTTTGTTAAGTATAGGATATAAAAGGGGGGTATCTCCCCTTTTTGGGATTAGTACCATATATATTTGAAGAATGTGTTTGTTTTGTTTTTTTGTTTTTTTGGTTTTGTTTTTGGTTTTTCTTTTTTTTTTTTGTTTTTGTATTTGTTACTGGGCTGTTCTCTTCATTTTTGTAGTTTTTTTTAAATCAAAAAATGTTTGCCTTAGATACACAACCCTAACATTCAGCGTTATTTAATATTTGTAATAAAGTAGCCAAAATAAAACATTGACCCCCTCCCCCTGAATCGGGGAAACACAGAATAGTTTGTGAGGAATTTTTGAAGCGCCCCTTCCATCCAATTAGAGACATAGTTTGGTTTTCAACATTGGCTAGTTTCCCTTTCCATTTTTTTGTTTGCTTGTATGTTTATTGCATTTCGTTTATTTATTTTGTTTATGTTTTTTTTTTGTAACAATATTTCAGGGGGTTTTGACAGCATAACCCCGCCTCCGAGAAAAACTTTAGGATCTCTCTCTCTCTCTCTCTCTCTCTCTCTCTCTCTCTCTCTCTCTCTCTGTGTGTGTGTGTGTGTGTTTCTTTGAAGAGGAATGCGCTTTTTAGTTGTTTAGATCAAAAGAAGTTGCAGAGACAGAGTTTTTTTAAATGTTGATAAAAAAAATGGTGGGAAGTGCAGCTTCTAGTCCATCCCAGATTCTTACTCTAGTTCTCATTCTCAAGGTTATGCTCCGAAAACGATCGATTTTTAGGCCGAGGCAGGCTACTGACAGATAAGTTTGTTACAAGGATTTCACCAACCTTGTTTAAAGTCAGCATTACTTACATGGTATGGTCGCTATATTGATCTTTTCACAAATATAACCTATCATTGGATTCATTTTGACCGATGTGTTTCATTCTACTTTTTAGGCTTTTAATTTTGTTAATTTTTATACTGAATTTGACTAGATGGGATGTTCTGCCCACCTGATCACTTTAAGGTTTCATCAAAGGTCAACATGTCCAAAAATTTATTTTTACAATAGCTCCAAAACTATGTGAGGTATAAAGTTAAAACTTTTTCAGTTTATAAAGTTTTTTTTATTGATTAATAGATAGAAAGCATCACTTGATAAAAAACATACTTGGAAAAAATATTGAGAAAAATTCTTCTTAAAAATGCATATATTTTCAAAGAATACACCTAATTGATTCCGCGCTCTTAGTGAAAACCATTATTGCAGAAACAAAATATGTTTATCAATGAAGGGCAAGTTGGACTTGGATAGCCTCTGGAAAGTTGTTTTCCGTTTATTTTGTCCAAATGTTAAGACTTAAAAGTGAAAGTACATTGCAAATGGTGGATTCTATAGGGGTCTTGTCTTTATACATGTCATGCTTTCAATAACAGCCATTCAGAGACCATTCACGTCCAACTTGCCCTTCAATGATAAACATAATTTTATATTATTTCTGCAATGATGGTTTTCACAAAA